CGAAAAAAAAAAAAAAAAAAAAAAAAAACAGAGGGATAGTCCTACCATGGACTTGAAAATTATAAATAGAAAGATTCAGGTAAATCACAGGAGAGACGGCACATTACACATACCCATTTTTAGATATGATATATCACACAGCAGAAAATATAGTAATGTTAAGAAAGCAATTTTCATTGAGGGGCCATCAGAATCATTTATGAGAGATACTCTTTTTGACTTGCATGTCTTCTCATAGATTTTGGCAGGTGCTACTGTCCCAGGTAACTTCTAGGAGGCAGGATGAAAATCATTGCTGTATTGAGTGAATATGACATAAGGCAATGAGTGACATAGTCCTCTGCTATGTTGGGGGGAAAAATTATTGAGAAAAAACGGTTTTAACAGAACAAGAATTAGAGGAAACTGACGAGGAAATTCTAAATCAGACTAAGAAACAGCCTGAAGCAAAAAGAAACTCTTGCTCTCCTGTGCCATATTTTTCATGAGTGGCTTCATAGTCTAAGTACTTGCAACTCAGATGGAAATACCTGTTGAGTTTATTTACTTCCCATGAATAAAACCACTCCCCCAGAGAGTTCAGCAGTATTTAACTCTGCTCCTACCAACAACACTTAATGCCACAGTAGAACATACTTTGTGTTTTAAATGCTTATCTATACAGAAGTTTCTCTAATACATAATTTCATTTCCCACAGCTTAATTCAAAGGAAGTTTGCTACCAAGAGTAGAGATTTAATATTCAACTTGACAAAGTAGAATTGCTCTCTGCTATTAGTTAATAGTGCTTTCAATTTTTCACTAATTAAAAAGCAAAACACTAATTCCTATTATTAAGGTAATTAACCTAAAACAGTTCATAAGCTACCCAAACATACAAAGTTCATAGCTCCACCTGTCAAATTCATCATAAATCATAAAAATCCTGTAGGTAAAAAAATGTCCAAGTGTATTTTCTAAGTGAAAGCAATAGAAACCTTTAAGAAAGAAGATATGTTTCCCTGTTCTAGAGCAATTAGCTTCCAATTACAAGCAAATAATGATGACTATACTTTTGCTCTGTAAGAAGAAAATAACAAGTCATCAATTACAACTTGGGAGTTATGTGACAATTCAGTACAGCACAGATATACATAAAACAATCATTATAGTATAAATGTAATATTAGTCTTATTACACTATATACTCCTCATTGTAAACATGAAGGAATAAGTTTAATTGGTTTCCAAGAGTTTACAGACAGCGAGTAAGCAAATTCCAAAGGAAGAAAAAATAGAAGGATAGAATTAGCAAAATATTAATAAAAAATATTCTTTTTATTACAGAATTCTGGGATATCTTTCCTTCTTATATCCCCACGTGAAGTATAAATTGGCACATCCTTGAAAGAGCAATTTTCAGCTATCAAATTTTTAAGTGCATATATTCTTTAACCCAGCAATTCTACTTCCAAAAATCCTACAGAATTCTATAAAAATACGTGTACAATATTCGTAGTTGTTATATTGTTCATAGTAACAAAAGAAAAAATTGGATAAATCCACACTGTGAAAAATTACGTAACTGTTCAAAAGAATGAGGTAGAGCTACACAGTCACTGGAAAGTGATATACATCATCAAATGAGAAAAGTTCCATTTTTTAAAGTAATCACACATAGCTTGTCCATGCATAAAAGATGTTTGGAAAGACATACTAGAAATTGTCAAAATTATTACCTATTTGAAGTGGGACTGAAAGGGGCTTTGAAAGGGTTTTATTTTTTAAAACAATGAGCATGTATTGTCCATGCATAAAAGATGTTTGGAAAGACATACTAGAAATTGTCAAAATTATTACCTATTTAAAGTGGGACTGAAAGGGGCTTTGAAAGGGTTTTATTTTTTAAAACAATGAGCATGTATTGCTTTAAAATTAACTATTCTTAAAATTCTTATCTCCCAATAGGAAGTATCTGTGACCCAAGTTCAGCAAGTTTTTGTTTAATTCATGTCCTGAATTCCTTCCTCTCTAACCTGAAGCTTTCAAATTCAATAGAATCTAATCTATATAAGCTAGTTGGAAATCAATCTGATAAGCTAACCAAAATTTAAACTATAAAATAATAAAGCAGTTTAAAAATCTGTTCACGATGGTTATCTCACATCCCCACTCTCCAAAAATCATAATTCCAAAAAGGTGGGTAAAAGAAGATACAAGCATATGTAAACGTTCTCACGTGTTCTATTGCACCCGCCTGTCTGTCACTATATTCACGATATCGTCCAAGCATCTGGTCCATTTGTCGCAGGTTCCGACTTGTGTCCTTGAGAAAGGAAATATATTCTATTAATAGTTCCAAACACTGCTTTTCCCAAGCAATTTTAGTAGTATGTCAAACAGCGAAGTCAACAGTTTTTAAAAGGTACAATTTATATCATAGTTGGGTATTAACATACTTCATAAGTTGGGTATCAATGTACTTCACAAATACCAAATAAATCTTAACACCACTGAACGAGAAACTCAAGTCCATCTGTAATTTACTTGTGTAAAATCTGAAGCAAATGATTTAAATCCTTATCCAAGGTCTCATAATAAGTCAGCAACAAAATCATAAATTGAAAAGAATCCTTATTATCAGTCTGTACAACACTGCAAATTCACACCCTCATTACAAAAAACAAATCCTGAAAGAGCAAATCTAGTAGATCATGTACAAAAGAAGCAAATCATTAGGATCAATGTTATTTCAATTATTACTTCACCTTAGAACTTGATTAAAAGAAAAACAAGTATCCTTTAACCTTTAGCTATAAACAACAAATTTATTTCTAATCACAACAAAAATGGCTTCCACCCAAATAGGCTAGGTTTCACCTAAGAGATTAATAAAGGCATTTCAATCAAAAATATAAACCTACTGATGTGTCTCATTGGTGGGAAAGTACAAGGATTCATACTCCAAAATTCCATTATTATATTAGTTTAAATAAGTTTAAAAAGAATAGGCCTTATGATTTTTAAATCAAATTATGGCTTCTCCTTCAGAAATTATTCTCTTATCTAAGCATACTAAACCAAAGCAATTAAAAGCCAAAATCCATGATTATCCAGCCTAAGGCAAAAGTAAGGGAATAATGAGTAAGAAAAAAATTCTAGTTCTGAGTTTTCCTTTCTCTAGTGTGAATGTATTACCCTATAGTAGACTGAATGTCCCCCCCAAACTCACTGAAGCTTGAATTATGTCCCCCAAGTTTTATGTATTAGAAACTTGGCCCCCACTGTGACTGTTAAGAGGTTGGGAAATCCTATTACAGCAACTAAAAGGTGGTGCCTTGAAGAGGTGATTAGATTGTAGGATCAAGAGTTCCCTTTTCTCCAAATCCTCAAGAGTTCCCTTTTCTCCAAATCCTCACCAGCATTTGTTATTCTCTACCTTTTTGATTATAGCCAGTCTAGTTGGGGTGAGATGATATCTCAATGTGGCTTTGATTTGCATTTCACTGATGACTAGTGATGTTGAGCATTTTGTCATGTACCTGTTGGCCATGTGTATGTCTTCCTTTGAAAAATGTCTATTCAGCTCCTTTGCCCATTTTTTAATTGCATTATTTGTTTTTTTACTGTTAAGTCATTTGAGTTCTGCCAATCAATAAATGTTATATACCAGATCAATGAAAGCAAGGATAAATACCATCTGATTCTCTCAACAAATGCATAAAAACTATTTGACAAAATTCAGCATCCCTTCATGATAAAAACCCACAACAAATTAGGTACAGAAAGCCATATGCAACAAACCCACCACCAACATCATCCTGAATGGGGAAAAACTGAAAGATTTTCCTTTAAGAACAGAAAAAAGGCAAGGATGCCCACTCTCACTATTCCTAGTCAACACAGTATTGGAATCAAGCAAAAGAAAAAAATAAAAAGCATCGAGATTGGAAAAGACAAGTCAAATTGTCACTGTTCACAGATGACATGATTCTATATATAGAAAAACCCATAACCTCTACCAAAAACCTCTTACAGCTCATAAACAAATTCAGTAAAGTTTCAGGATACAAAATCAATACACAAAAATCAGCAATATTCTTATACACCAACAACAAATAAGCAAAAACAGAAATCAAGAAAGCAAGCCCATTTACAATAGCTACCAAAGAATAAAATACCTAGGAATCAATTTAACCAAAGAGGTTAAAGATCTCTACAATGACAATTTTAAAATGCTGCTGAAAGAAATTAAAGAGGACACCAAAAGATGGGAAGACATTCCATGTTCATTGATTGGAAGAACTGATGTGAAAATGTTCATACTACACAAAGCAATCTGTAGATTCAATGCAATCCCCATCAAAATGCCAATGACATTCTTCACAGAAATAGAAAAAATAATCCTAACATTCAGATGAACAACAAAAGAACCCAAATAGCCACAGCAATCGTGGGCAAAAAAAAATAAAACCAGAGGCCTTACACTACCTGACTTCAAACTATACTACAAAATAAAACAGCATGGTACTGGCATAAAAACAGACACATGGACCAGTGGAACAGAACAGAGAACCCAGAAATCAACCTAGGTCCTTACAGCCAACTGATCTTCAACAAAGGCACTAAGAGCATACACTGGGAAAAGGACAGCTTCTTCAGTAAATGGTGCTGGGAAAACTGGATGTCCATGTGTAGAAGAATGAAACTAGACCCATACCTCTTGCCATATAGCAAAATCAACTCAAAATGGATTAAAGAATTAAGGATAAGACCTGATACTATAAAAATCTTAGAAGAAAACATTTCAGGATGTAGGGCCAGGCAAAGACTTTATGAATAATACCCCCAAAACACAAGCAACAAAAGAAAAAATAAATAAGATTATATCAAACTAAAAAGTTTCTGCACAGCAAAGGTAACAACCAAAAGAGTGAAAAGACAACCTACCGAATGAGAGAAAATATTTGCAAACTATACATCTGACAAGGGATTAATATTTTTTCTGCTTTAAGAGAGCAATTTCTCAGGTATGGTTTTAGTCATGTTTACAACTCCAAATAATAATAGTACCTTAGATTTGTGCAATGCTTCCAAATTTTAAAAGCACTTTCACATACAGTATTTCAATCATATCAACAACACTGTAAGGTGCATGAGAAAAACACAGATATTCTCTAAAATTAGGACCTATGGATGTCTTAACATTAGTCTGATGTCCATTCTAGTGGAAGAGCATATGTATCTTTAAACATAAAACTACAACAAACAGCCTGACCTACAATAAGAGAATCCCATTAAATGCATGGTAAAAATTCTCATGCACCTTAATCAAAAACATAGTAGAATTAAACAAATGCTATAACAGAGTTACAAATTCTGCAATGATGAAGATGTGAAAATACGGCATCTTCAACATCACCAAAACAGAAAATCAAACATCCTAAGTATAACTTGATGAGTAGAAAATTTGCTAAACATGTTTTCTCTTATCTTTTCCTCGATTTTCTATTTAATGCATAAGAATATTATTTTATGCAAGAAAATCTCAAAAGCTTCAGAAAACCTTTTAACAGAAGCTGAAGAAACTAAATACATTTAGAGCAAAGAAGCATCAGAGAGAACTGAATTGATCAAAAGTGAAGGTTTACTGAATATCCCAATAATTTCATTTTCTGCTTAACGGAGGGTTAAGTTAATCTTTAATATTAATTGTTATAATCTTCCTAAAATCTACATGACCATTTTTTCTGGATTATTAAGTACACTGTGATGAAATCCTTCTTTAATGACAGAATAGTATGGACTTTTTGAATCTTTAATCTGAATACATCTGAGAAGTACAGCACCATACATCTAAAGAGAAGATAAAGGGAATTTGCTAAATGTATATAGATCCTAGAGCACTTAATAAAAGCAGTCATGTTTTTAAAATACTAGGTAAACTAAAACTAAATAAATAAATAAATAAACAAGCAAGGACCCACATTGTCAGTTTAGATTTTTCTTGACAAAATATAGTCTGTCCTTGCCACATCAGAAAAAGAATCAATGGAATATCTAACTTCTTCACACTAGGTGAGACAGGATTAGAAAACATCCTGTTATACACCAATGCTTCTCCTCTGCCTATGCCTCTCAACTTCCTTCTGCACCTATCATCTCTGCTTCTTGCCTCCCTTCTCCTATGTAGAAGTACAAAGGTATAGTGCCTACAGTGTAGCTCCCACCCACATCAAGAAACGTGAACAAGAACTGAAGCAATTGTTTGGCTTTGCTTTTTCTGGCTCACAATTGTTTAAGTCCAAAAGAATAAAGTTAACAGGAAAAGAAATCTTAAATGTAAATTTTACCTTTTAAATTTAGGAAATGACTTCTGTGTATGTCTCATAAATCTAGGCCACATGACCTAAAAATCTTTTACTCTAAGTTAAAGTATTTCCCAGCATTTTCCATTATGAAAGCAGGAAAAACCAACATTTTATGAGAGCCTGCTATTATGCCAGGTACTATGTGGATGCTTACACCGATAATCGAATTTAATTTTCAGAACAATTTATTAAAGTGAACACTTATTAACCCCTAATTGATACAGGATGCTGAGGCTAAGAGACGTTAAGTAACATATAGAGAAGATAAAGGGAATTTGCTAAATGTATATAGATCCTAGAGCACTTAATAAAAGCAGTCGTGTTTTTAAAATACTAGGTAAACTAAAACTAAATAAATAAATAAATAAACAAGCAAGGACCCACATTGTCAGTTTAGATTTTTCTTAACAAAATATAGTCTGTCCTTGCCACATCAGAAAAAGAATCAATGGAATATCTAACTTCTTCACACTAGGTGAGACAGGATTAGAGAACATCCTGTTATACACCAATGCTTCTCCTCTGCCTATGCCTCTCAACTTCCTTCTGCACCTATCATCTCTGCTTCTTGCCTCCCTTCTCCTATGTAGAAGTACAAAAGTATAGTGCCTACAGTGTAGCTCCCACCCACATCAAGAAACATGAACAAGAACTGAAGCAATTGTTTGGCTTTGCTTTTTCTGGCTTACAATTGTTTAAGTCCAAAAGAATAAAGTTAACAGGAAAAGAAATCTTAAATGTAAATTTTACCTTTTAAATTTAGGAAATGACTTCTGTGTATGTCTCATAAATCTATGCCACATGACCTAAAAATCTTTTACTCTAAGTTAAAGTATTTCCCAGCATTTTCCACTATGAAAGCAGGAAAAACCAACATTTTATGAGAGCCTGCTATTATGCCAGGTACTATGTGGATGCTTACACTGATAATCGAATTTAATTTTCAGAACAATTTATTAAAGTAAACACTTATTAACCCCTAATTGATACAGGATGCTGAGGCTAAGAGACATTAAGGAACATAGCTAACTCCACACACTGATAATAAGTAGCAGACCCAGGATGCAAACCCAGAATTTAGCCAGCCTTCTCTGTCTTTAACACTCTGTTCATTTCACTGTACTCTGCTGCCCGTTGTATAATAAGAGTGCACAATCTTAACAGCTAATAAAAATTTCTGAAGACAGCAGCAGGCCATGACCTACATGTGTCTGTAGACTCCTCAACTCCCTCTCATTTTATATCAGAATAAAAACATCAAGAAAAAGGAAAGTATCAAGTAGTAATACAAAATTTTAAGTAGCCACCAGCAAAAAAAAAAAAACTAGTCACGTATCTATGCTACATATAATAAAGGTCCCTAAAAACAAATCAAAACACTGGCCTCAGAGTAAGGGGTTTTGGTTTCTTTATTTCCTGCACAAGAGAAAATAATCACGGCTGGGATCTGTCCCTTCCATATCAAAATTCTGTACTTTAAACCATAATTTTCACTTTAACAAATCAAAATTCTGCAAAACAAATGAAGTTAAGAAGTCATCAGGCAGAATAAAAAGGTGATGTTGAAAAAGGCAATATGTTGATGGCTTCTGGTGAAGATGGCAGAATAGACAGTCCCCAGAGTCAATCTCCCCCACAAGTCAACCAATTTACATCTATTAAAAAGCAATGACAGCCAAGCTGGGGCCACTAGAGCTCAGGGGAAGAGGAGGAGAGTCCTATGGAGTTCATGAAGGCAGGAGAAGCCATGCTGAGAGAAAGAAATGACTGCTCACACCATTTGGAGCCCCAGCTGCTTCAAAGCTTGCCCTGGTGAGCACATGGAAGCCTATGAAGTTGCTTGGAGGCGGCAGGGGAGAAGAGGGCCTTGGTGGCCCCAGGCCAGCAAGACCACTAACAAGGTTCCTGTGGACCCACATAGGAGTAAGGAGCCACAGACAACTGAAAAAAAAGAGCCACTCAGAAGCCAGTTAATCATCACAAGGGACTGGTGCACGGACTGTCCCATGGGAAGTATTTGGAGTGCAGGCAGTAGGGGAGATGGGCCACCAAGGGAACATTTGAACACAGCAAGGACAGTTGATCTGCCCCCAAATCAGCTCAGAACCACTCAGTGGAGACTGCTCAGGAATGCAGAACTGCACAGGGTGCAGTTTGTTAAAAAGACTCAGGCCAAGACCAGAGTTTCCACACAACCCAGGTGTACCAGACCTCACAGGACCTGGAAGTGCTTACAAGGACAACAACTAAAACCTGAGCTGAACAAAAAGCCTTCCCCAGGGAATCAGCAGCAAAGCAGCCATTTAGCTCAACCACAGGGCTCAAGTGCTGGTTCCATTAAGATGTTCCCACATTTTAGAAGTAATCAAAGGACAACAAATTAGTTCCAGTGAAGAGTTGAAGTGGTGGGAACAGCAAATAATCTAACACAGAACTGAAAGAAAAAACAAAATACCCACAGATCAGAGACAAAGTTTGATATTAACCAGTAAAGGTCTAACACCACCAAAGAACACCTGTAAAACCTAGAAGGACCAGAAACCCCTTGGGCTCCTAAGCCAGGGAAGCAGGAGGGCCATGGACCTCAGCCATGTCCCCCTGATGACTGCACCGAGCCCAGCGACAAATGCCAGGCCACCTCCAGAAGCATCCCAGGCTCCCAAACTGGGTTGGTGGGGGGCCATGGGCCTCAGCCACATCCCCCTGACATCTGCATCCAGCCCAGCAGCAACCAAGCCACCTCTGGAAGCCCCCTGGTCTTCCCTGCCAGAATGAGGTGTGTGCCACAGGCCTCAACCATGCTCCCCCACCTTCCTCTTCCTCCCACCTTATTTCCCTCCCCCTTTCCTTCTCCCCCTACCCACCAACTTCTCCACAACAATATCTTAGAATGTAAAAAAAAAAAAAAATACTAATAGATAAATTTTTTTAAAAAAAGAAAAAGACAATGTGTTTACTATAATGATTGTTGGTGAGAACAAGAAACAAACTATCTTTGAGGCAACTTGATTTTCCTGAGTACAAAAATTTTAATAATAATCAGTTATCTACAGATAACTTCATTGGATATAAATGGTATAACAGACTCTTCTAATGAGTAGGCAATTTGAGTTGCAACTTGACTAAAAGTTGTCATAACTCAGTATTCTATGGTTCTTTTTAATAATTTGAAAAAATGTTAAAAATATAAAATAGCAGAGTGACTAATATAATAAGCATACACATATCTACCACGCACAGCTAATAAATAGTATCATTCTGACATGTGTGCTTCTAAAATTTTTTAATAAAATATTTAGAACAGTATAAATAAGGTGTGAGTAACCTCCTACCCCACCCCTCACCCAGTACTATTCCTGCCCCACCTCCCTAGGAGTCAAGTTACCACTAGCATGATTCCATGTATAACTCTTCAGGCTATGTTTTTATACTTTTACCACAGGCATAGGTTCTCTGAAATCTTTTTTATGGAACACACATTATAAATATTAACAGGTGAAGATATGGGGTATCTGAATTTAACTCTAAAACAGAAAATCTTAGCAGCATTAAATAAAATTAAGAACAACATTAACTAAATTACCTCCAATTATTATATAATACAGGGGGGAAAATGACCTCTCACTTATCCCCACTAGGATTACATACTTTCAATAAAACAGAATCACACTTTCCAGCATGAGTTTCACTAGCACACACACACACAAAGTCTTCAGCTATTAATTTCAATTACTTTGAGCAATAAAAGATGTTCAAACTCCTGCATCTAATGGAACTCCTGCAGAGATATCAAGATTTAAGGTGAGATATCTGAGAAATTTGCATGGCTTTTT